AATTTATCTATAGAACCACTCAGAAAGCCATGTTTATAACCATACAAGATTTTAGAACACAGTGAAGCTTATCCCATATTACATACACATGGTTTCTGTTCCATTTAAAACATCATTTCACTCAAGGTTAAATAATACAAATAAACTTTCCAACATTTCTGACTTTCATGAAGCTTTTTCCCACTGTGAGACACAAGTCAACACTGAACCTCTCAGAATGCTGTTTTCACTCTTAAATCAGAACATTTTATTGCGATATCTTGCATATTTAGTAAGACTCAAAGAAATATTACAGGGTTTGCATGTTTCTTATTCTACATAGCTTACATGAGTTCTTACATACTGGACTGAGATTATGACGACTCGCCCATGTTCTTAAATTCATGGTATATCCTCAGAATAAGTTTGTCTTTGAAATGAACAACAACACTTTTATACACTGCTCATATCCATGTTTTCTCAACTATGAATTCAACTGCAATTACTAAGAATCAAGAGAACTTCCAAAAAGATTTTCTGAATTCCTTACATTCAAAGAGTTTTCCTGTTCATTAATGTCAGAAGAACTAATGAAGGGATCCTCACATTCCTTATATTCATATGGTTTCTCTCCAGTGTGTTTTCGCAAATGTTTATTAAGGCCTGAATGCTCGGTAAAAGCTTTTCCACAGTACTTACATACATAGGGTTTCTCTCCAGTGTGGATTCGCATGTGAACCCGAAGATAAGAGGACCACAGAAATGACTTTCCACATATTATACATTGAAAGGGCTTCTCACCAGTGTGAGTTCGCATGTGGACCGGAAGGTAAGAAGAACATGTAAATGTTTTTCCACACACTGTACACTGAAAGAGCTTTTCTCCAGTATGAATTTTCAAATGTACATTAAGATACGAGGAAGAAGCAAAGGCTTTCCCACAATGGTCACATTCAAAGGGTTTCTCCCCCTTATGACTCCTTATGTGTGCAATAAGGCCTGAGGAAGTAGTGAAGGCTTTCCCACATTCCTGGCATGCATATGATTTCTCCCCAGTGTGATTTCGTAGATGTATAGTAAGGCCTGAGCGTGCAGTAAAGTCCTTTCCACAATAATTGCATTTATAGGGTTTTATTCCAGTGTGAATTCGAAAGTGGGTCTCAAGGGATGAAGAATTTCTAAATGATTTTGTGCATACCTTACACTGAAAGGGCTTCTCACTACTGTGAGTTTTTATGTGCACATTAAGTTGAGAAAAGCTAGTGAACGCCTTCCCACATTCCTTACATTCATAGGGTCTCTCCCCAGTATGTGTTCTTAAGTGCTTAGTAAGGCATGAGCGTTCAGGGAAGGTTTTCCCACATTCCTTACATTCATAAGGTTTCTCTCCAGTGTGAGTTCGCATGTGAATGCGAAGGTGGGATGAAGTTGAAAATGCTTTCTCACACATGTTACACTCAAAGGGCTTCTCTCCAGTGTGAGTTCTCAAATGTCCAACAAGAGATGAGGAATGAGCCAAGGCTTTACCACAGTGGTAACATTCAAAGGGCTTCTCTCCTGTATGAATTCTTATATGTTCAACAAGGGCTGAAGATGTACTGAAGGCTTTCCCACATTCCTTGCAATCATATGGCTTCTCCCCATTGTGTGTAAGTACATGCTTAGTGAGGCCTGAGCGTGCAGTGAAGTCTTTCCCACAGTAATTACATTTGTAGGGTTTTATTCCAGTGTGAATTCGAAAGTGGGTCTTAAGGCAGGAGGAATTTCTAAAGGTTCTTGCACATACCTTACACTGAAAGGGTTTCTCGCCAGTGTGAGTTTTTGTATGTTCAGTAAGTTGAGCAAAGCTGGTGAAGGCTTTCTGACACTCTGTACATCCATAGGGCTTCTCCCCGGTATGGTTTCGTAAGTGTATAGTAAGCCATGAACGCCCACTGAAGGCTTTCCCACATACTTTACATTCATAAGGTTTCTCCCCAGTGTGAGTTCGTATGTGACCCACCAGGTAAGAGGAACGTGTAAATGCTTTCCCACATATGTCACACTCAAAGGGCTTTTCTCCAGTGTGAGTTCTCAAATGTGTAGTAAGATAAGATGAAGAGGCAAAGGCATTTCCACATTGTTCACACTGAAAGGGTTTCTCTCCTGTGTGACTTCTCATATGTTCAGCAAGGCGTGAGGGTTGAAGGAAGGCTTTCCCACATTCCTTGCACTCATAGGACTTTTCACGAGTGTGTTCTCGTAAATGTACAATTAAGCTTGAGCGCTTGGTGAAGGCTTTCCCACATTCCTTACAGTCGTAAGGTTTCTCCACAGTGTGGTTTTGCATATGAATATTAAGGTAAAGAGGATGTGTAAAGAATTTTTCACATTTCTTACATTCATAGTATTTTTTTACAGTGGGCATTTCAACACACCCATCGGGGCTTGTGGAATTAGTAGAAGTTTTCCCACACTGTTCCAATTCGTAGATATTTTCTCCATTGTGAATTCTGCTATGTGCCTGAAGATGTGTCTCATTAACAAAGGTTTTCCCACAGTCACTGCATTCAAAGGATTTATCATCAGTAAATTTTTTCTGGTAAACATCTGGAGTCAAGGTAAAAGGTTTTACAYACTGGTTCAACATAGAACATCTTTCTTCAGTAGAGGTGTTGTTGAGCAATGGAAGGAAGTTTTTTCCATAGGTATTACACTCTGAAGTGTTCTCTTTATTAGGAGTACTTGCATATGTCTGAAGGAATGAGTGCTCACTAAAAACTTTTCCAACTTGCTTAGAGTCACAGTGTTCTTCTCCATTGTGGCTTCTTGCCTATTCATAAAAAGATGAATGAAGATTAAAAGATTTTTCAATCTTTGACAAGAATGTGTACTTGCAGGAACTCTGAAGAACCAAGTATTACACTAAGTTTAGGGCATCTCTCCAGAGAAACTGCRATTGGTAAAGACTACCTAGTTCAAATTATCTCTCATTTGTGCTGACTTCCATCATGGAATTCCCAATCTGCCCTGAACTTGGAAATTAAGAAATATCTCTTTGAATCTTACCAGCTGTATCCCATTTGATGTATCTGACCAAAACACATCCTGCTGAAGTGCTGTCCCTTTGGTTTGAAGGTGCATCTCCCATTCTGCAGTAAAAAAGAAAAAGATACAAGGTTTTGAAAGAAAATAATAAATCTCAATTGTATTCATATTAAACATGTTAAAAAATAACGCAAAGATAGGTTTGAGTAGATGACCTGTCTATATCATAAGGATATAGGACCAATATATAGAAATTTATTAACAATTTGTCCTATAAAAATTAAATCTAAAAAAATTAAGGGGCTGGATTTGTGGCTCAGCGGTAGAGCACTTGCCTAGCATGTGCGAGGCCCTGGGTTTGATCCTCAGCTACCACATGAAGATAAATAACTAAAATAAAGGTATTGTGCCCAACTACAACTAATAAATAAATAAATAGACAAAAATAAAGATAAAAAAATAGATGTAATGAACAGAATTAAATATCAGAGAAGGAAAGCAGGAAACATGTGCACCCAAAAACGCCATACACTCCCTAGATGTGGTGGCACATACCTGCAATCCCAGGAACTCCAGAAGCTGAGGAAGGATAATTCTAAGTTAGAGGCCTCCCTCAGCAACTTAGAGGGGCTCTTAGCAACTTAGAGGGGCTCTTAGCAACTTAGTGAGACTCTGTCTCAAAATAAAAAAGAGGGATATGTAGCTCAGTGGTAAAGTCACCTTGGTCTCAATCCCCGGTACAAAGGAAAGGGAAAAAAGGCTGGACAAAGTAAGGGACTAAGGGAGCATGGGAAGTTGAAGATATCCCAGAACTTACAAGTCCAAGAACCTCAGTTTTCAAATTGAAGGTATTTTTTTAAAATCTTTTTTTTTTTTTTATAGTTGTAGATGGACAGAATGCCTTTATTTGTTTATTTTTATGTGGTGCTGAGGATCGAACCGAGTGCCTCACACATGCTAGGCAAGCGCTCTACCACTGAGCTACAGCCCCAGCCCCTGAAGGTATTTTTGAAGAAGTTTCCTCATACTTCATTTTTTAATAAGTTTCTTCATACTTCAAAGCTTATAAATGACACAAAATATTTTTTATAAATACTTACCTTGAAGAATGCCTCGTTCTACTATTGTCAACTGCACTTCTTCCTCCAACCAAGAAATCAGGCTGGGTTTCAACAGCTGACGTCCTACACACAGGGAATGATACATTAATGGATGACACTCATGTGTGATAAACCTTCCCATGATAACTTTTTTTTTTTCTTTTTTGGTACCAGGGATTAACTCAGGAGCACTCAACCACTAAGCCACATCCCCAGTTCTATTTTCTATATTTTATTTAGAGACAGGGTCTCACTGAGTTGGTTAGCATTTCGCTATTGCTGAGGCTGGCTTTGAACTCTCAATCCTCCTGTCTCAAGACTCCTAAGCTGCTAGGATAACAGGCTTGTGCCACCATGCCTGGCCAGTAAACTACATTTTTATGAAAAGGATTTCAATTATTTCTAAACAGCTCAAAATAAAACACTCATGCTTTGGGAGTCCTGAAGAGATCAGTTTTGTCTGATCCCTAAAATCCTCATTTGGTCTTCACTCATATAGAAACCACTGAAAAAGTGTAATACTCCTAAATAAATATTGTGCTGTTTAACTAACATCAAAAAACCCACCAAGACATTTCTTTCACAAGGATATAATGGAAGCGCAGAAAGGTCCTCATTCTCAAAGAAAAACATTGCAACAGTGGTTCCTAAGTTCAGATTGCTTTTTTTTTTTTTTTTAATTCCAGGGGCTGGGGATGTGGCTTAGTGGTAGAACACTTGCCTAGTATGTGTGAGGCACTGGGTTCAATTATCAGCATTGCATATAAATAAATTAAATAAAGGTATTATGTCCATGTAAAACTAAAAATTTCTTTAAATAATAAAAGTAATAAAATTCCACTCTACATTATTAAGTTCAGATTTCATGTTGAAGAATTGTTAAAACATGAGTGACAAAGACAAAATCTCAAAAGGGACTTTTTAAAAAATATTTTGTTTTTAGTTGTAGATGGATAAATAACTTTATTTATTTTTATGTGGTGCTGAGGATCAAACCCAGTGCCTCACAAGTGCCAGGCAAAGCACTGTACCATTGAGCCACAACCCCATCCCTAGAAGGTATATTTCTCTAATACAATGATAGTGATGCTATTGATCCTAAAGATATCTGGTTGAGAATAATCACAGTAGATTAAGGGACTGGGTCTCTATTACTTTCCATCATACCACTGTATTCTAGCTGATACCACTAATCCTGGAATGCAGTTATTACAAATTACAAAATATATTACAAAATATATTTCTATTTCTGAGAGGCTACAAAAAATGATGGCAGTCTTACCTACTGTAGACAAGTTCTGGAAGTTCTCCAGCATCACATCTTTATAAAGGTTTCTCTGAGTTGGGTCCAGTGAAGTCCACTCCTCCTGGGTAAAGTCCACAGCCACATCTTCAAAGGTCACCGACTCCTAAAGCACCACACACATGAGGTTTGAGGCAAGTAACATCTCCACCCAATATTCAATGGTGAATGAGAAAGTGACACCAATATTCACATACGATGGTTAGGTCTCCCATATTCTATTCCAGGTTCAGAGGTCCTGAGAAACCTCTCTATTCACACTTATTCACTGTGGATCTACTCCAATCATATGGTTTTTGTACCTCTTACACATAAAACTTCTCTCTCCACAAACAGACTAGGAGTTTTCTCATTTTATTTCTTCATTGTAACATACTCCTGAAGCATACTACAAAGACTCAACAAATCAAGCTATAGAAATTCTTTGAAAAAAGACACTTTTATTTTCCTTACTATCTGTTAGAACACTGGAAAAAATGAAAGTATCTAATAGGCACAAGGAAACTTAATATTCATGATTATAAAAAAATACTGAAAAAATTTCAGGTTAATCCCTCACCAATATTAGTGTGTCTTTCTGAAGGAAATTCAACTAAAACCTTAGTCTTCACATAGATCTTTTTCCCTCTGAAAAACTCTGCAGATAGGTCTACCTACAAGGAAATGTGTCTTCCTGGTCAGTCTATTATGTCATTTTGGGGATGTAAACAATAAGTTTGACAGCAAATTTGGATATCCCAATTTCATCATTACCAGAGTTAGTGTTCTAAGGCACTGTGTTCTCTAGTGTGAAATCTGTTTCTCTCAAGTATCTTTCCATATCCTGACATCCAATAATGGAGTACCCAATCTTATCTGAACTTGCAAAACAGTAAATACACTTTTATTAAACTTACTAGTTGTATATCACTGGAGGTATGTTCAGTCAAAAAATTCTGCTGAAGTGCTGAATCTTTGGTTTTTAGTTGCATATCCAATTCTGAAATCAAACCAATAATAATAATAATAATAATAATTTAGGTTTAAAGAAAGAAATAGCAAGGCTGGGGTTGTGGCTCAGTGGTAGAGCGCTTGCCTCATACATGTGAGGTACTGGGTTTGATCCTCAGCACCACATAAAAATAAATAAAGATATTATGTCTATCTATATCTAAAAATATATGTATATATTAGAAGAAAAAGAAAGAAATAGGAGATTAAAGGAGTTAAAAATAAGTCTCTGGGATGAGGCATGCCTATAATCCCAGTGGCTCAAGAGACTGAGGCAAGAGGATACCAAGTTCAAGCCAGCCTCAGCAACTTAGCAAGGCCCTAAACAACTCAGTGAGACCCTTCTCAAAATAAAAACTGGGGATGTGGTGCAGTGTTAAGTGCACTGGGTTAAATCTCTTGTACCAAAAATAAAATGAGTCTTGGCAGGCAGGGTGGGGCATGCCTGAGCTCAGTCACTAGGGAGGCTGAGGCAGGAAGATCACAAGTTCAATTCAGTGAGACCCTCAACATCTTAGGACAGTCTCAAAGTAAAAACAAAAATAAAAATGAACTGGGAGTACTTGATGTTCAGATCTTCTATACTTTCTGTCCTGATGTTCTGTGAGCTCCTGAAACAACATTTTAAAAATTTTTTTGTATAGACAGCATGCCTTTTTATTTTGTTTGTTTATTTTTATGTGGTGCCAAGGATTGAACCCTCACATATGCTAGATAAGTGCTATTCTGCCCCTAGGCTATTGGCCGAAGCCCATATATTATTATTCTTTAGGGTCATCATTTTGAGGTATGTATTTTGATATTTGATGTTCACATTTTTCTTCCTGGGCTGAGGTTGCGGCTCAGCGGTAGGCGCTTGCCTCCCATGTGCAAGACCCTGGGTTCAATCCTCAGCACCACATAAAAAATAAATAAGTGAAATAAAGGTATTGTGTCCAACTACACTAAAAAATAAATATTTAAAAAAATACAGGGGGCTGGGGATGTGGCTCAAGCGGTAGCGCGCTCGCCTGGCATGCGTGCGACACGGGTTCGATCCTCAGCACCACATACCAACAAAGATGTTGTGTCCGCCGAGAACTAAAAAAAAATAAATATTAAAAAATTCAAAATAAATAAATAAATAAATAAATAAATAAAAATTAAAAAATACATACATCAAAATGATGAACCTGAGTAACAATAATATGTTGTTTCACGAGCTCAAAGAACACTGGGACACAAAGTAAAACATTCTGGAGTTAAAGATAACTTCTGAGTTCCCTTGCTATTGTTTCCAAATATAGTGAATCTGTCACTGATCAGGGCTGTTCTCCACAAACACTCACCTTGGAGAACTCCTGTGTGCATGGTCATCAACTCTTCCTCTTCTTCCAAGGAAGATGCAGGGCTGGGTTTGATAAGCGTCTGACATCCTGCACATGGGAAAAGATGCATTCACAAAAGAGATGATAAATCTTCCTATGATTCAGGTCTATAATTCTCATGAAAGCAGTGAAATTATTTCAAAGCCTTATCCCAAAGTTTGGTAACCTCAGACCCCCAAAGTCTTACAATAAAGTAAAACTAGTGACTCATAATTATTATAGTGCATGAGATTTAAGAGGRGGAATTGACAGACACAATGGACAACTACACTCTGAATATGTCAAAGGTGGAAATCAAGACTACATTTCAACAACGGTAAAGATGTTACTGAACCTGGACCTGGACAACATTTTAAGAACTACCATAGTAGGTTGGGGATACAGTGCAGTGATTAAGCATGTCAACAGCACATGTAAGACCCTGAATTTGGGGCTGGGGATGTGACTCAAGAGGTAGCACGCGGGGCTGGAGATGTGGCTCAGCGGTAGCGCGCTCGCCTGGCATGCRTGCGGCCCGGGTTCGATCCTCAGCACCACATACAAACAAAGATGTTGTGTCTGCTGAAAACTAAAAAATAAATATTAAAACTCACTCTCTCTCTCTCTCAAAAAAAAAGACCCTGGATTTAACATATAGCATCACACACAGGGGAAAAAAAACCTGCCACAATAGATTAGAATGTATTGGGGGGCTGGGGATGTAGCTCAGTGGTAGGCTGCTTGCCTAGCAGGCCCAAGGCCCTAAATTCAATCCCCAACAATGCAAAGTGAAAAAAAAGGGGAAAAAAAAAAAGTATTAAGGAAGATTGTGTTTGCTAGTTCCCATTCACAGAGTTGACATTATGGATCCTACAGCACAGTAAATACTTTGCATATACCTATTCCGTATGAGGTTATAAGGAATGATGGCAGTCTTACCTACTGTGGCCAAGTTCTTACAGTTCTTCACTGTCACATCATTATGTGTTTTTCTCTGAGTTGGGTCCTCTAAAGTCAACTCCTCCTGGGTGAATTCCACAGCCACATCCTCAATGCTCACTGAATCCTAAATAATCACACACATTATGTCCTAAGCCAAGTAATATCTTCACCAATTTCCACAGGAGAATAAGGATGGTGGAACCAATGCCTATGCAGAGAGGTGAATTCCTTCACTGCCTACCCTTAGTCCATTCAATGGCCCTAAGAACTATTCTCTGTATCCACAGTCACTCCACTCATATGGCTGTAATGGCACTTCTCAAACATGAACTTATCTCACCACAAGGCAAAGCCATTTATATTTTTTCCTCTTTTATTCCTGAGCACACAGCACACATTTGATAAAATGATAAATGAATAAAAGTATTCAAGAAAAAGACATTTTTATCTTCCTTATCTTTCAGAAGACAGCAAATTGAGAAACATGCATTTGGAACCACGGGAATCAAGATTACTTATTAATTACTAGAATATTGCAATGATTTTCAAGGTAATCTTTCACCTATGTGAAAAGCTTCATTCCCTGGAAAAATTCAACCAGGGACTCAGTCCTTGTATGAGGCTTTATTTTCCTTAAGAAATCATGTGAGCAGAAAGATAAGTTAAGTAGAAGAAAGTAAAAAGAACAAGGGAAAGGAGAAGAATAGAAGGGAAAATACTGGGGACTGAATCACAGGAAATTATGTTCCATGCTTGTACAATTATGTCAAAATGAATCCTAATGTTATACTGCAAACCAGTAAGTGTAAGTAAACATACATCTAGTTGGTGGAAGCAGCCATGTCAGTTTATAGAATGAAAAACATTCATGATACCTGATCATTTCTCAGGCAATCAGCCACTGGACTTTCTTCCTCTGTCTCATCTTCATGACTATACACTGGGTCCACAGGTAGTAGACCTCCTGAAAAATAAGATAATCCAGATCTGACCAGAAGCCCACATTTACATGATGACATCATTCCATCCTAATTCAAAATTCCCATACAATTGAACACACTCAGGAAAATTCACAAACACAATCTCTGGGAACATACAATGCCACAGCAATTCTGTATCACTTACACTCAGAAAAAAGGACAGTAAGCCATGCGCTCTTCAAGAAAAGAATCCTGGTCTCACTTCACAAGTTTCTTAACTTGAGCCCTCAGAAATGTGACTCTTCATTTCCCCATAGCAACTTTAGTCATAAACAAGATTATGTAATATCTCTTCCCTCAACACACCTTCCAGGAGGCTGACATAAAACAGCCYTCTCTTGCCCTCTTTAGGACCTCAGTGAAAAACTAGCAACATGACTGTTCTGTCCCAGACCTCTGGCTTTGTATTGGGCAGGGGGTACTTAAAGCAGATTCTCTGAAAAACAGCAACAGGACTTACCATGGGACAAATTGGTAACATCCATGTTAGTCTGATCCTGAAATATTCGTGATCACTCTCTTCAGGGATTCCAAGGACACGTCAAGGTAACTTATGAATCTAAGTGAATAGTGGCAATACTTACTCCTCTTTAAACAGGGTTATTGGATTCCTGTTGATATCATTAATCAACAAATAATACTTAGTAGTTATCAAACATTATACATTCTCTCTCCTAATGACAGATCTCAATCTATCTAAAAATTGTATACCATATAACAAGATTAGTAACAACAACTTCCATTTACTGAGTAACCCCATTTTCAATAAGTTACACAAGCTTTTTTTTAAGAAAATATTTATTTTTATGTGGTGCTGAGGATCGAACCCAGGGCCTCACACGTGCTAGGCTAGTGCTCTATCACTGAGGCACAATCCCAGCCCACAAGCAGCTTTTATGTACATGCATATATGCTAAATTATATATAGCTATTATTACTCTATTATTCAATTATTTCTAACAATCTCTCCCAGGAGATTATCATAATCACTAACGATGAAACCACCTAGATTCAGAAAACACAAATGACTGTTCTAATATCAAGTAGTGAGGAAATGGTTAACCAGGACTTTGAAGTGGTTAACTGTGCCCCTAAAGTCTAATCCTCTGTGGTTATCATTATATTCTAAATTACAACCATATAAAGGATTCTGGAAACTGGTCCCTGATGTGTTTGTTAGCCTTTCATTGCTGTGACCAGAATACCTGACATAAACAACTTAGAGGAAGAAAGGTTTACTTTGGCTCAAGGTTTTAGAGGTTTCAGTACAGACAGGTAGCTCCATTACTTTGAGTAGAACATCATGGCAGAACATGGGAATGCAAAGGAAAACTACTGAGCTTATGGCAGCCAGGAAGAAGTGGAGTAAGTGGGAGGGCAGATCAGAGTATAGTCCTCAAGGACACAATGCTAGTAACCAACTTCCTTCAACAATGCCCAACCTGCCTAGTTTCCACTTCTTAGTGGTCCGTTCAAACTATTAATCCATCAAATGGATTAATCTACTGATGAAATCAGAGCCTTCATGATCTAATAACTTCCAAAGTCCATCCCTGAACAGAATACATTTCAACTATTGCTTAGCCTCAGCAGAGTCTCAAACACTATGTTCTGACCTCTGCTTGGTGCTCAAAGCAGAGTAAAGAAAATATCTGGGGCTAGGATTGTGGCTCAGCAGTAGCATGGGCGGGACCCGGGTTCGATCCTCAGCACCACATAAAAAAATAAAAAGACATTGTGTTGTGTTCATCTACATCAAATAAATAGATAGATAGATAGATAGATAGATAGATAGATAGATAGATAAATAAAATCTGCAAGGACAGCACCAAATTGAAGTTTGCCAAACTCCTGATAATTTGGTGGGTCTTATGAAAGAACCTTATAGTATTACCAATAGGTCTGTTTTTTCAAAAGTTCTGCTTCTATTTTTCTTATTCCTTCATATAACCTTCTCTTTCATATTAAAAAAAATAAATAAAAATAAAAAATGCAATAAAGAACATCAACAACAGACTAATGGGACAGAATAAAGAACCCATGATCTCCAAGACAGGGCATTAGAAAAATGTAGGGTCAAAGGAGAAAGTAAAAAACAAAAACAACAACAACAAAAAAAACCTTATGGTATTTATGGAAATGTAACAAAACAGCAAATTCTGATATACAGTACTTCAACAGGAGAGAGAAACAATGAGGTAGAAACAATACTGGGCTAACAAAGAACTTTTCTAGCATACATTAGCCCTCAGAAATGAAAAAGATGCCTTTACAACTGAATCCAATGATACAAAACAATCACAGAACAAATTTGGCAATCTAACAGCAATGAACAAATTTCTAGATAATAAAACCTACCAAAATTGAGGGGCTGGGGCTATAGCTCAGTCCCCCAGCACTTGCCTAGCATGTGTGAAGCACTGGGTTCAATTCTTTGCACCACATAAAAATAAAAACAAAACAAAATAAAGGCATGTTGTTAATCTACAACTACAAAAAATTTTWAAAAAAAAAGATTAAATGAAGAGGGCCGGATGTGGTGGTGCACGCCTATAATCCTAGTAACTAGGGAGATTGAGATAGGAGAATGTTGAGTTCAAAGCCAGCCTCAGCAACTTATCAAGGCCCTAAGCAACTCAGTGAGACCCTATCTTTAAATAAAATACAAAATAGGGCTGGGGATAGGGCTCAGTAGTTGAGCCCCCCTGGGTTCAATCCCCAGTAACAAAAAAGAAAGAAAAAGATTAAATGAAGAAGAAATAAAATACAAGTGGTTAAGCAATGAGACTGAATCACTAATCAAAAATCTAACATCCAGGGGCCACAGTATAGCTAGAAATAGAACATTTAGGGGCTGGGGTTGTGGYTCACCGGTAGAGCACTCGCCTAGCACGGGTAGGACCTGGGTTCGATCCTCAGCACCACATAAAAATACAATGTACTGTGTTGTGTCCATCTACACCAAAAAATTAAAAATAAATTAAAAAAAAGAAATAGAACATTTGCCTAGTATGCCAGGGCCGGGGCTCCATCCCCAGCACAACCAAAATAAAAATAATWATTATTATTACCATTGTCATTATTAACACTGTGACAATGATGATGATAATAATAATTAATTTACCAGCAAGGAACAGCCCAGATTCAGTGTCTTACAGTGCACTCTACATACAAAATGTCTAAATAACTAATAGGAATCCTTTTCGCACCCTTTAAAATACTGAAGAGCAAATAACTCCAAATTCATTTTATGAGGACAGCATTACTGTTATCAAAGTCAGATAAGGACAACATGAAAAAATAAAATTAGACAAATATTTATGATTAATGCAGGTATAAAATTTTTCACCAAAATACTAAAACACAGCACATGGAATCATTCACAAAGAGGAAGTAAAATTTATCCCTGGGATAAATCTCAAATGCCCAAAACAACCTAAGAAATTTGGGGGGAGGGGGGAGGGGTTGCGGGGGGGCAGGGGGATGAAGCCAGAGCCACACTAAATTAATTTGAAAAATCTACCACAAAGCTATAGGAAACAAAATTGCAAACAGTGAAATAAAATTATACCCACAGGATAATGAAACGAAACACAGTACCCAGAAGCAAATCTATACATTTAACGTCAATTGATCTGCAGGCYATATATAGGATAAGGAGTTCAATTTCAAAATGTGTTAGTATGGCCATTTTGAAAAACAGTACAAAAGCTTCTCAACAAATCAAAAATAAAGCTAGGTATGGTGGCACTAACCTATAATCCCAGCAACTCACAGGAGGATTTCAAGAACAAGTCAGCCTCAGCAACTTAGCGAGACCCTTAGCAACTTAGTGAGATCCTGTCTAAAAAAAAGGCTGGGGTGGCCGGGGTTGTGGTTCAGAGATAGAGTACTTGCCTAGCATGCGTGAGACACTGGGGTTCAATCCTCAGCACCACATAAAAATAAAATAAATATATTGTTTGTGTCTACCTATAACTAAAAAATAAATATTAAAAAAAAAAAAAGACTGGGGATGTGGCTCAATCATTGGTACCAAAATGAAAATAAAACTTCCATTTAATACAGCAATCCCTCTACTGGGTATATTTCCAAAGAATATGAAATCAGAACAACCTCAGACATCTTGCATTCCCATTCATGCAACACTACTGACAATAGCTATTTCAACAATTCAAGTGTCCAAAAAATAATGAATAGATAAAAGAAAATGTAATATATATACTCACTGTAGAATATTATTCAGCTTTAAAAAAGGAAATCTTTCCTTGGTGACAACATGGATAAACCTAGAGGGCAGCATGGCAAGTGAAATGAGCCAGAAGCAGAAAGAAAAATATCAAATGACCTCATTATAAATGGGATTAAAAAAAACTGAACTCAGAAACAGTAAAATGGTGTTATCAGAGACTTGGAGGGAAGGAGTTTGGAGATACTAGGAAAGGATACAGAATTTATTAAATAAGAGGGTTAAGTTCAAGAGACTTATTTTATATCACAGTGACTACAATGAATAGCAATATACTAGATACTGGAAAGTTGCTAAGAATAGATTTTTACATGCACTAACTATACGCACACACACAAAGTATGTGCAGTTACATACATTAAACAGCCTGTTCACAACACAAAAAGACATAAAATGTTCTATATGAAAAATACATGTTTTTAATTGTGAATCATAACAAAACTAAAACTAGAAAAATAAATAAATTTTAAAAATAAGGACAAAACATGTCTGATTTCCCCTTGCAGTAACAAAGGAGCAATACCAAATAAGAGTTTAATTGACTCTTATGTATATACCAGGCAGTGAGGCCCTACTGAGAAGGCCCCTTATCAGAAGGTCTACGTGGAATACATAATGTGGTCTCACTGGTGTTTTGATTATCCACAGTTTACAATCAGGAGGGCAAGAAGGGAAACACCTAGTGGTCTGCACCTCGTAGTCTGGACTAGATAATCACAAATCTTGCCCAAACCTATTTTTATACATTTTTATCTTGCCCCTATCACATTAAAGGCAAGAGGTCAGACCAAGGTTGTATATTCTCTGGGTCCTGATTAGCAACAGAGTCTCACAGAAGTCATGGTATTGGTTTATTCGATATGGAATCTATTTAAATATAAACTTTCATCTGAAAAAACAAAACTAACCAGGTACAGTAGTACTCACCTGTAATCCCAGCAGTTCAGGATGCTGAGGCAGAAGGACAGCAAATTCAAAGCCAGCCTCAGCAATTTAGTGAGGCCCTAAGCAACTTAGCAAGATCCTACCTCAAAATAAAAAATAAAAAAAAAAAAGGGTTAGGGTTATGGCTTAGTGATTGAGCACCCCTGGGTTCAATCCCAAGCACACCACCACCCCCACATACAAAAAAAATTTAAAAATGAAAACAAAACTAAAAGCCCTTAGGCAGATCAAGAATGTGTATTCTCCAGGTACTTGCTCTTATGCGGCAGAGTTAAGATCAACAATTTATAAAAACAGGTCTGGACAAGATAAACAAACGCAGGAGATAATTCATTTTAGTCTAATTTAAAAGGAATTGTTTGTGGAGACCACTGTGTTTGTCAATTAGACAAACCCACCAGGAACATGAACAGGACCCACCAGGAACATGAAAGTTCCAATCAAATTATTTTCTAAAATCCTAGCAACTATAAATTATTTTGAAAAGTAAACTAGTTATTACGAGTAATGTCTGTAATCCCAAAAAGGCTATTGTTGTGAACATCTAGTATTGTGGCCTCAATAATAAAAAGGCATGTGATTCTTACTTTCTACCTGTGAGATAAAAGATCCCAAATGATAAAAGATTTGTTTTGTTTCCTGAGATCATCTTAAGCAATGTGTTGCTCAGCACTCTAGCACCAAGATGAATTCAAGTTTTGCCAGTTTCCTGGATCTTTGTCCTTTATTAGGGACAGTGGATAAAGGATGAAAAACAGCAATATTCTTCTAAGTTCAATTATGCATGACATTCAACAGTGCCATTCATATGGTCCATGAACTTCCAGTGCTATTCTCTCAATTAATCCTAAGGGGTTCTTAAAGCATCCAAAGATACAGAAAAGAGGTAACTTCTTCCAGTACTGTATTGTCTATCAAGGGACTGAAAGGAGGGAAAACACTTTCTCCTTTAAGTGAAACATCAGATCTAGATTTGGTTCCAGATGTCTAGAAAGACTACAATAGCAATGACAACTGTTGTGGGTACTGATGACCTAGAGCATAATGCACAGTGGGGGGGTACAGATAATGACCAGCTCTGGATCTCTGAGATCTTTTATTTCCAGGGAGCCCAGCAGATAACCAGTCTTTGCTTATCTTAATGATATGTGGCAACTCCTTATATCAGAGCCTAGGGGCAACTAAATTATCATATATGATCCAGAAACTACAGAGGCATTAGAAGAGGTTACTAAAGCCTCTAAAGTAAAAAAGTCCCTGATTATTTTAATTTATAATTATAACTTATTAAGTGAGGAATATGTTCCTACCAGAAGCAAAAAAGGACTAAAAGATATTATATATTAATGTGACAACTGAATGTTATTCTGGAGGAAGACATTATCAATATTATATCATACCTGTGGTCCTGGAGAAAGAGGGCTACAATGGAGGTATTATCTCCAGAGACTGTGTGTGATAAGAAAGGTGTTGAGGTACCTCAGGACAGCCTTCCAAGGTCTGACCAGGCAGCACGCCACGTCTGGGAAGCTGTTAAACAGGAAATGAATGGAATATTAATCAAGGTATTAAAAAAACAAAACACTTACCAACTATTATTGCACAGAATCAGTAATCTTAGTATTATTGAAAGTTGACTATAGGAAGCTTTATGAATGGAATCACAGCATTTAAGACTTCTGTACTTGATTATCAGTACCATTTACTTACTCATTTATTTCCAGATTTAAGAATAGGCAATGATGACTGATCAAAAGGAGAAACAGTGGAGAAAGGTTTTATAATATTTTATCCTTGAAGACCATATATTAATTGATTTTGGGTCATATGAACTCTCTTAATTAAGGTCCAGGGAGTTTCATGTGTTAAACCAAACATAATTGACAGGAATATACTTTAATTTGCTATACATTGAGCATACGTAGGGATGTTTTAAGGCAAAAAATAATGTTACTGTAAGAAAATAAGAAAAATAAGATCAAGTGTTGGGGAATGTACAGTGGTTGTCTAGCATGTGTTAAGGTCCTGTGTTCAATCCCATGTTGGGGAAGGAAAAAAAAAAGATAAAACAAAAAGAAATGTAGTCAACCCTACAGTTAAAAGTGAAAGAATACCAATTTTTCCTCCATGTTGTATAAGGTACATGTGTAGGGCTATAAAAGAACAATGTTTAAATTTAGGAAGATATCCAGGTATGACTATTGAGGGCCAATTTTCTTGTGTGTGTGATACTTAGCATTAAACCCAGATCCTTGTGCATGCTAGGCACATTATGCATGAGCAAAACCCAAATAATGCCCTTTATGTAAACTTGGTATTTAATGAGACCAAATTATGAAACTTCTTTTAAATTAATCTGCCATAAATTTATTTTATATTACTTACACTAAAATATCTTAATGCATAGTAGAGCATGATGGCATGTGCCTGCAGTACTAGCTACTCAAGAGGCTAAGACACAAATAATCACTTGAGCCCAAATGTTCTAGACTAGTCTGGGCAGCATAGAGAGAATCTGTCTCAAAAAATAAATCAATTACATATTCTAGAATGTATATAATCTACCTAATTTCCTTGTATTTCTCTCATGATACCTATGGATTGGATATTTAATCACTAATCTACAGCTACCATTATCTTTGCTCAATCTGGCATTTACATAATATAATGTTCTTTTGCTATCCCCCTTGGGCTCAAATTGGCCTAAAATGATTCTTTATCCCCACTTTTTAAAAAATTTTAGGCATYAGCTACCTTAAACCTAGGTATTTTGTCTCTGGCTGTTAAAGAGGAAGAATGGTGACTGCAGGTGCCAGGAACCTCTTGTCCCCCTCTCCCTAGGATGACCCTTGTCCATAAGATAATTATTTCCCTTCTCCTTTTACCCTCATGCACAAAATCTTGTTTTCTCTCCACTGTTAATATCTTTTCCCTTTGTCTAACATATCTCACAAACTCCTGATGACCTGAGCAGTTAAATCAGTCTCCCTCTCTGGAGGGTCATTACCAGTTTTAGAGAGTCTGCGGACCACACCTAGAAGTCAGTTAAGAGAGCAATACTGGCCTAAATTTGTTACTTTTTTTTTTATAATTTACAGCAATAGACCTGTTACCTCACATGATTTCAGAAACATCTTCAAGTAGAGAGAGATCCAAGTGCTCTTTCCCTCCAAATTCTTTTTTTTTTTTTAATTTTTACAGTGAGTCACCAACCTGGTCACCATGTATGCGATCTGCCATAACCCATGGGTGGGAGCGTAAAGAGCAACATCAACAAGGGATATACCAGAAAATTATTCATTGCCATAGGAACTAAGATTCTTCCTCACCAGAATAAAGTTCTAGATGTGGCTCTGCTTTTCTACTGGTTATACTTCTGCTAGAACCCACCTGCACACTCAAATGCTTTACCCACAACCATGGCACTCACAGCCTTCTTTCTCATCAAAAAACTCTTTTCACTGCCATGTTCATGCCATCAAGTGGTTTTATCATACACTGTCACTCATAGTTTATCTGAATGAAAGGTAGAATGGCTTATTGAACATTCACTTACAGGGCCAAATGGAAGAGACTACTCTAACAGAAGGGATTCCATCTCACAGAACAGGTTATATGCTTTGAATTCAGAGTTTTACATGGTACTGTTTCCCACAGACAAAATGCCCTGGACCAAGAATTGATGGTAAAAGTGGAATTGTTCCTTAAACTATTTTTGCTTCCAATTCCAGCAATTTACAAATGCTTCAGGTCTGAAGATCTTAGTTAGGAATGCTTCCCAAGGAAACACAATTACATCTTAGTACACTGGAGGTTGAGATTGACACCTGGCCATTTTGGGCTTCATATGGCAATAAACCAAGAAACAAACAAGTTTAAAAATGGATAATGGGTTGGGGGAGTAATCTATTGGCAGAATTAATTAATCTCAAATACCAAAGGGAAAATGTAGCACTACTACACAACTGGAACAAGGTGGAAGTGTACAAACCACAAGGACTTCTAAACTGCACAGAATAAGCTGATAGAAAATTACAACTGAAAAAGGCAGGATAAGGGAGGACATGGACTCTTGGGGAATAAGGTTTTGAGTGACTCCACCAGGTACACAGAGCAGCTGAAATTCTGACTCATGACAGCATAACAGGAAATATAAATATGGTCATAAACGAAATGAACTATAAACTACAGTCTTGAGACCAATTACAGTTTTGTGTTTTTTTCTTTCCTTGTCCTAGGTATGTCTTTACTAACAAACTAATCATTGCTATATTGTATACATGTATAAAATATGTAACAAATCTCATCACTATGTATGACTATAGAGCATCAATAAAAAATGTCAAAGAAAAAATAAAAATGAGCAAAAGAAAAAATAACCATTCTTTTTCCTAATTTTGTATACATGARAGATTAAGTTTATAATATTATCTTCAGTTATCAGAATATTCAGTGAGGAAGTAAATTTGAGGAGTAATTAACATGGTTTGGGGGTAGACACAATGACTATAGGATTGTGCATTTTTCACTCTTTGGAGAAGAATCGAGTTTTTTTTTCCTTTTTATCTTCTTAAGCAGAAATAAGATACCTGTTTAATTATTTTGAGGACTATCCAATGTGTGCAGAATGGATGGTAAACAGCCAAAGAATGAACTGTGCTCATCAATTTATCTCAGCTCCAATTTCATTTTCAATACCTGCTATGGAATAAAAGACCATATTTTCATATGTACAATAACAGATGTTATGCTTGAATATAAAGGGTGTCATAAACTTCATCTACTCACTACCTTAGCATCCCTTTATATCTACAGATAAGCTATTTGACGGCACACATCTATAATCTGAACTACTCAGGGAGCTTATGCAGAAGGATCACAAAATTGAGGAGTAAGACCCTGTCTCAAAATAAAAAAGGACTGGGATATGGTTCAGCAGTAGACCACCCCCTTGTATGGTGAAGGTGTTCCCCAATCATTCCTGCCACCTTTGGCCTAGTTAAAGCTTCTCCCCTGTGTTGTCATTGACTACATGGTCTCTTCCTTCAACTGATGAAAAAAGCAACACATCAAGCTGCTAACACCAGAGTGACTTAAGAAAATAAATCTTCAAATGGTATTTTCTCTACATTAGTCAATCCACAACCTCAGCAGGAAAGTCTGAAGGACAATGCCTACATACCTTAATAAAGCAGAGTTCCAAATGTCCTTTCTCTCTCAATCCCTACCCCACTATTGAGAACTCTATTGTTTCTGTACTTCTCCAAGGCTCTTAGGGGCAGCTTTTTGTTTTTAATTTTTTTTTCCTGTAGTTATACTCAGACAGAATGACTTTATTTATRTATTTTTATGTGGTGCTGAGGATCAAACCCATTGCCTCACACATGCTAGGCAAGCGCTCTRCCCCTGAACTACAGCCCCATAAATGTTTCTGCTATTTCATGTGTTTTTTCTGCTGTCTCCTATATTATATCTCACTTGACCATGATGTAAGTCTCCTGTTCTGGATAGGGCTAGAATTTAYAGCCACTCTGCAGGGAGAGACCTCCAGACCCAAACAGAAAAATACAGCAAGATGTAGCAAATTGAGTATGGTCACAGCCATGAGGAACACAAAAATAGACTTCTCTTGCCTTACCACATGACTCTCCCATGAAGCTAATACCATTTTGTAAGGCTCCATGGCTCACTGAGTTATGCCTGAACTGCTGTGTATTGCTGTTTTTCTCTACTGAATAATGCCAAAACTCCCCTTCCTAATTTGGAAGGAGTCAGACAGTCTAAGGGACCTTTGGGAACAATTGCTAGCCATAATAGGACAAGAGGGGCAACCACAGTCAACAGCCACTCCCAGTAGTGGTCAGAGTGAAACCAACTATATTCTGAAGGCCTTATTTGGTTGATTGATTTGTCACTGAGAAGCAGAAGGGGAAGGTAGGCAGTGGGTAAATATGAGAGCCAGCAGAGTGCTAGAGGGAGACTGGCATTCTAACTTCCCATTGCACTGGGGATGGAATATTCTATGAAGGTGACTATACCACCCAGCCTGATGAGGCACCCCCTTTACAAGGGAGACAATAGCACCTCACTAGCAATGGTCCACTGGGGTTTGCGAACCCAATGTCCTTTATACCTGTTGCTCTACACCCCTAACACCTTACAGAGGTCTAGAGGGACACACTAGAAAGAAAGGTGAGAGCCTACAAACAGGGTAACAGAAACAACTAATGGAGACCGTTGATCCTGGGCCATCTGAAGTACCCAGGAGTTGTCAGGTAAAAACAAAGGGGATTAAATCTTTTAGGTAGTTAAAGATTTATTGATCTTTATGATTCAAGTCTTCCAAAGATTTTATTTAAAAAGAAAAAAATATATAAAATGAAAAGAGAGAGAAAAAAAAAGAGTAGAAGGACTGATTGTCTTAAGGTCTGACTATCCCAGAGGGACAACTGAACCAAAGCACTAGGTTCTGTGACCACCCTCTTTCTTCCTCTTATCAACAACAGACAGAAACCAAGAACCACCATTTCAGACAGCTCAAAGACTTAGAACAAAAAAGTTATAAAAGCCTTGCRCTTTAGGCAGCACCAGTCAAAAAAAAAGAAAGGAAGGAAAAATAGAGGGAAAACATTTAATACTGAGTAAATGCCAAATGCCAGGACTAACCAATGGAAGATTACTTAGTGATTTAAGGAGAAAAAACACAAGATGGGGATGGGGGGGTAATTAAACATTTAAGTTTAACATTTGCTAACGTGCACCAATTAAAATAATTATATGGATTACTAAATCTAGAGGTCAATTTATGGTTATACCTGGGGTTCCCACTAACTTTAAGTATTATACCCTTTAAAACTAGAGTAAATATGGAGGAAAAATTAGGCATCCCTAACTTTATTTTTTTTAAAGATAATTTTTCTTTAAAGAGAGAGAGGGGAGAGAGGGGGAGAGGGAGAGAGGGAGAGAGGGAGAGAGAGAGAGAGAGAGAGAGAGAATTTTTAATATTTATTTTTTAGTTTTTGGCGGACACAACATCTTTGTATGTGGTGCTGAGTCTCAGCACCACATATAAATAAATAAAATAAAGGTCCATTTACAACTAAAGTAAATATACATTTTAAAAGATTAAAAAATAAGTAAATACAGATATTGTGTCCATCTTAAAAAAATAGGGCTTCAATGATTAAAATTTGCATAATACACAGTTTGTGAAAGGGTGATTACCTCCGTTACTCTTCCATTCAATACAATTGTTTCTTCTTCTTAATCTGAAATAAAGACTGTTAGTTCTTCCWAGGGTTCTAATGCAAGAAATTGCCCCTCTCAGCTTCATGGTATTGCCATCAAAACAAATGACTGGCCACTAACTGGTATCTCCTGGAAATAAAGACTCTAATATATCCTGAGCCTGTGACCCTATAATACCCACCCCTGTCACAGAAACAGGACAGAGCTTCATACTGCTATTTAGGCCTCCTTAAGACAGGGTAGAACCAAAATTAAATCTTCTGGTATACTCTACCTATAGGAGAGGAGGGTTTCCTCTGACTTCAGTCCCTTGCCTGAGGCAAGGGTGCTAGAGGAGGTGACTCCTCCTCCAGACTCACTGATAATCTGAAAAGCCCCTTGGGATCAACTGAGTGAAAAGTAACTGGAATTCAGAGACTTCATTACAAAAGGGCACTACTAGCTAGGTGCAGTGGCACATGCCCGTTAGCCCAACAACTCAGGAGGCAGAAGCAGGAGGACCACAAATTCAAGTTCAGTCTGAGCAACTTAATGAGACCCTCAGTAACTCAGCAACAAGCTCTCTCAAAATAAAAAAGGGCTAGGGATGTAGCTCAGTGGTAAAGAGCCCATGGGTTCAATCCCTGGGGGTAGGATGGGGGAAAGGAACTACTGACAATCATATATGCATTTTAAAGRAGAGTTGCTGCTTTCCATTCCTCAGCCAGGATGGTCCTAATTAAAGTCTAGACCCAAGAAGCAACACAGCTGGGCAAATGCCAGGCAGTCATCTTGGCTCTGGATACCCTGGATACCCTTGATCATYAAAACCCCATCTTTTTTTAAGAGACCCAAGGGATAATGCCCAAGGAACTTAACAAAAAGGCAGAGACCCACGGATCTCATCATCTCTCACTCCCCTCTGGCTGACTAAGCACCATGGTCATGGCATCTACAAACTTCCCAAAAGTCCTTCAGGGAACACCTCTCTCACAATAATTAAGATGCTTCTATTATATTAGGTGTTTACTGTGCTGCCTCCCTTGTGTCTCAACTAACTAACACAAAGAACCCAACTCTCCCAGTAAAGACAGGGCTATAACTGTGACCATTCTCCAGAGATACCACAAGACCAAATAAGAGGAATGTGTAAGGGGTAAATGAATGGACATCACAAAAGGAAGGAAACTTTACCTTCTGGATATAACTGCTGCATGGTAGTCAGCAGTGTCCAAGTGCTATGCCCATGCCTTGAGCCCAAAACACATTCCCYAGATGACCATCAACCCCTGACCCAGTTACCAATATCCTACTGACCTCCTACTATGGAGCCCATGTGCTCAAAGGTATCCCACTAGCAGAGGTACTCTCTGCAAATATGCTAACATAGTTGATGGCTTGTTTCCCAACTCCGGATGCATGCTGCATGTTGACCCAATTTATTTTGTACACCAGACACAAAAAGCTTGTACCCCAGTAGTATTCCCCTTGGCCCTCCATAGACAGACACATGTTGGGCCTGGCACTACCAGATAGGTGGCATCCAAACTCCCACTGCCTACCAAACTCATTTGAAGGGTTCCCTGTGATATGTATCACAGCCCTCCAAAAGAAAACACTCTCTGTGGGAAGCCACTATGAATGACCCTTCCAGTCCTGAAGCAAAAGGCTCTGACCAATCACTACATTTCATGGTGACTTGGGCGTTGTCCCAGATCAGGAAGTAAAAGACAAGTCCTTCAGATGTAGGTGTCACCCCCTGAGGTTAAGTTACACTCAACTGACCCTTGTAACYCAGCCCCTTCTGGCCTTTTTTTGGATAGAACTTTCTAAAGAACAAGAGTCCCTGCAATAAAAGCCCACTTCCAAAAGTGCTCACTCTCTCACCAGCCTCTAGTGACTTACTGTTGCTCTCCCTTTTGGGGAGCCTGAGGCGGAGAGTGGAGAAGTCGTCCTGAAGCTTGTTTTAAGGTAAAGTGTGTCTGTTTTATTTGGTGTCCCTGAAAATTCACACGAGCGACTTTAAGTTCAGCTGCCCACACATGTCAAGGAGAACAACTATGCAGCCAGGGGCAGAGGTATGCACCTGTAATCTCAGCTACTCAATACGCTGAGCAAGAAACTTGTGAGTTCAAGGGAGAARTGTCCCAATTCCCTAATATACAAAAACGCCAATAGCAGCTAGCATTGTTTTAATCTTGCTTAATCTATGTAATAACCATCTCTGGACATAAGTAACCCAGCAATAGGTTACAACTATACTATGGCTGACATGCCTTCATATGACCTCAGTGATCTCTACCTACTGGCATAGAGAATATAGGCCTTTCCTGAGGAGTCAYGTAATAAGAACCACAGGTAGCCTCTAGAAGCTAAGATCACCCTCCAGATGACAGCATCCACTATGTCCTGTAGTTCTAAGAAAATGAATTTTGCCTATTAGTGAGAATGCAAATATTCTTCCCTGATTAAGCTTTCCCAATTAAGCTAACTGTAACCCAACCAATGACTTGATAGCAGCTAGGTGAAATCTTGAACAGAGGATCTGATCTACCTACACCATGCCTGGATTCCTGACCCAAAGATATTACACATTATTCTTCAATTGTCAGGCAGCAATAGAGAACAAATACATGTGTGTTATCTAAGGAGGTTTAAATCCCTGTCTTGGAGAAAGACAGACATTCTTTTGTTGCCTAGCTTCTTTTCACTCAAAACTTTGCAAAATTCACCCACATTTTTGCATCTACCTTCGGTTTGTTCTTTCTATTTGTGGAACAGTCTTCCATAGTATAAGAATACTACAATTTACCCATTATTCTGCTGGCCTTTTTCCACTTAGGGCTGTTTCATATAATACAGGAATAAAAAGCCACTATTTTTATCTTGATATGCATGCACATGCATCCCTGTGTGACAGAGCATGCGTACATACAAAGTTAGCAAATAGTCCTAACAGTTTTTGAAAGTCCTTTGCCAATAAACATGCATACCCTCACCAACTTATCTTCAGAATCCTCATTAATTATTTAACTATGTCCACTTAGCTCACTGGGACCCCTTTGTGGCCAAATGAAATCATGGTTATTAGAGGGTGGAGGGGACATTAAGGAGGTATTGGAAGTGAAATGAACCAAATTATGTCACATTCATATATGAAATACACCACAATGGAACCCATTATTCTGTATAATTATTATGCACCAATAAAAATTTTTCTAAAGAAAACAAAACATGGATATTGCAAAGTCATAAAACTCCTTCAGTGCTTACTGGCAACCAACACTGGCAGGGGAGTTTTCTGGTCACTTACCTATGGAGTGTGAATGTCTCTAAGGAGTCACATTAAGAGTGATTAACTCTAGACATTCATTCAGGAAAATGAAGGACAAGTTTGGATAGGAGTAAGAACACCAAGGTTGACTAAAAAACACTCAAGAGACTTTTGACTGATTATAGACACAGACTTTCCAAATATAAATAATTAACAAGTGAATTTTCATAGTGAACTTTTTTCTCAATGGTATCACCGATGCGAATTCCTTGAATTAATTTCCTACTTAGAAAAAAGTCATGTTTTATTTCATCTCAAATTACACCATTTCAATAGGTACCAGTTTTCTTGTCAGTTATATACTGAGTTGTATATTAATTTTCCCAAATGTAGAAAATGACTTTGGTGCCAAAACTGAAGTTAAGTCCTTGTCAATTCTCTTTTCTCTCTCTCTAGAGACTTAATCAGTTAATCCATTGTCTCCTGCTTCCTATTTTCTGGAAGAAAGCAAATAAGTTCAAATATAATAGTACTTTAGTGCAATAAAACCTCGAACTTCCTACAGATCCGTTTTGAAGCYCCGTGGGGAAGCCCAGAGCAGAAAGTCCAAATGAAGAGAATGGGCTACAGATCCTTTCCGTCCCTTGGCAGAATGGTTTGTGGTCCGCTACCTATAAAACAGGTGCACCATAGACGTCTTTAAAAGAAGCTTTATCTTCCTACCTAAATGTGTCAAAAATATACTCCACACAAAGACAAAGCCCAATTGAAAGACAAAAGAAGTCCTGTGGAGCCAACTTACACCAAGCACTCACCGGAACGCGCCCGGATCGCCAGGTCCGCGCGGAAGGGGGACGTTATGCTGCCCTCCACAGCGGAAGTTCTTTTCCTTCTGGAAAAAAAAAAATTCAAAAGATTACTTTAAAGGCTTTTGAGGAAAAGCGCACAGTGTTCGAAACGAAGACGCGCCCTTCAGAATTATGTCGAAACGGCCCCTGAGGGGGCCCTCCGAACGACGGCCACCGGCCTGAAAGACCCGGCCGAAACCGGAGGACCCGCGACCCCGGCGGACGCGATCGGGAAGGGCCGGCCCTCTCTGAGAGGCTCCCCGGCGGCCCGGGCTAAACTCGAACATTCCCTGGACCCTTCCAGCGGCTGATTGTCCCCTTACTCCACCTCGCCAAGGCCCCGTTAGGTGCACCACCACCAAGGAGAAAAGAACTTGGCCGCGCAGAGCTAGACCGGAAAAGACAGAGAGACATCTCACATCACTTCCGCTTCCAAGTTCTGGCCCGGAAGTCCCCGAGTTCGGCGTCGAACCASAGCCACGTAGGACCCTCTGCGGCAGAGAAACGTAGAAATTCTAGCTTCCTCCCATGGGGGCGGAGAGCCCTTAAGGTCAATTCTGAGCCTAACGCTGGGGACCAGAACTGGCCGAGGCCGCAGCWGGTGGTTAGAATCAGGGCTCTGGGCGGGGTGCATTCCCAGGGCGGAGTTGGAGGTTGGACCTGCCAGACKCACGGAAAGAGGAGGAGGGAACGGTGGGAGGGGGGGCCCAACCACACGCCGCTCACAAAAGCTGCCTCCCTCCACGTAGTTAGAACTTCCTTTGTGTTTCTACGCCTGCCAATCAGCGAGATGGTCKGTCTCCTCCACGCAATTAATCCAGTCCTTCAGCCTTTATTTCTTTTTATTATCTGAACACCATGCTAAACTCTAATAGTTGATTGCTTGGAGTTTACAGCGTACTGACACTTTTTGTAAAGCTTGAAATTTTTCTTCTTCAAATATGCATTACTSTTTCCACTTGACGGATTTTTTTACTTTAAATTCAGGGCTTTCCGCACTGCGTTTTGTAAAACAGCGCTGATAAACACTCAGAAGTGATTCTAAAAGGTTTTCTGATCATCAGTTTTGCTGTGATTTTCAGTGAGCGGCTTTTGTGGAATAAAGAGTTGTTTAGAACCCTAATTTACAAATATTTTACAAAGATTTGTTCGTGCCTATTAGATATGGAAAATGTCAAACCCCCAAATAGTGTGGTCTCGGAAAAAGGAGTGAAAAAGAAAGCCATACATTAATAATATTGATCCTTACCCAATCGTTCTTTCTTGGTGACAAAACAAGCCCTGGGGAGAAGTTCTCCATCAAACCTAGACTGACAGTCTCTGGAAAAAGACTTAAGCATTKATTTCTTCCAAAATAAATCCTTTCCAGATGCTGGCCACTGACCCCAGACCCTTCATTGCCCAATAAAAACAAAATCTCAAATTCCTGAGTGAGGAGTCTATACTTCTATTTATTTCATCCCCCGATATAAATAGAAGTATAGACTCCTGCTTCTGCTGGCTGCCCATTTTCCACCAGGAAAAGGGTCACTCCATTCCTGGAAGAAAAAAAAAAAAAAACTGTGCCGATCCGTAAAGTTTGCGTCCTGTCCTGTTCTTTTGGGCTAACAGTGCCCGTTATCAAATGTRTTTTGTGAACACTAGATTGCTAATTACCTCACCATAACATTTTTATTTTTTGCCATATACAATATTTACCTTTTATGTAGTCAAAGGTGTTTGTTTTGTAAAGGAACTTGTGAGTTTCTTGCCTTGCATTAAAAAGTATTCTTAAAAATCTATATTACATATGGATTTCCTAATTTTCCTTTGGAATGTTTTTGTTGTTGTTGTTGTTATTGTTTTCTGCCAGTAATTGAATCTAGAGGTTCTTAACCACTGAGCCACATCCCTGCCCTATTTTGTATTTTATTTAGAGACAGGGTTTCACTGAGTTGCTTAGCACCTCACTTTTGCTGAGGAGGCTGGCTTTGAACTCACAATCCTCCTGCCTCAGCCTCCGATGCCATGCCATTGGGATCACAAATGTGCACCACGCAGCCCCCCCCCTAAATTAAATTCTTTTTTTTTTTTTTTTGTACCAGGGATTGAACTCAGAGGCCCTTAACCACTGAGCCACATCCCCAGTTCTATTTATTTATTTATTTATTTAAATTTTATTTTATTTTTATTTATTTTTTTTAAAGAGAGAGAGAGAGAGAGAGAGAGAGAGAGAGAGAGAGAGGAGGGAGAGAAATAAATTCCAATATTTATTTTTTAGTTTTCGGCGGACACAACATCTTTGTATGTGGTGCTAAGGATCGAACCCAGGCCGCACGCATGCCACACGAGCGAGCTACCGCTTGAGCCACATCCCCAGCCCCATATTTTTTTTTTTTTTTTTGAGACAGGTTCTCTCTAAGTTGCTTGGGTTCACTCTAAATTGCTGAAGCTAGTCTTGAAATTACAATCCTCCTTCGTCAGCCTCCTGAGCCACTGGGATTAGAAGCATCTGCCACCACACTTGGCAAGAAATTAAATTATTTCAAAATGTACAAAACAGACATTCTTATGAAGTTATCAAGGCTTCTACCAAGCATCTTTCAAATTATCCACAAGCTTCATCTATTAAACAGCCACACAAGTGAGACCCAAATTCAGGATACCAAAATGCACTATAGTGTGTTATTCAGCAAGAGCTGAAGTTCCCTGGAGCAGAGAGTCAGGCAGACAATCAGTCTGAGGTTTTTCTGGACCCTTCAAAAATTGTCATGCTTAAACTTGGAATGGAACCACCATTTGACCCAGTGATCCCATTCCTTGGTCTACACCCAAATGACTTAAAAAACAGCATACTACAGGAACACAGCCACATCAATATTTATAGCAGCACAATTCACAATAGCTAAACTGTGGAACCGACCTAGATGCCCTTCAATAGATGTATGAACAAAGAAAATATAATATATATATTCCATTGTGTAATGGAATATTCCCCAATATTAAAAGAGAATAAAATTATGGCATTTGCAGATAAAAGGATGGGGTTGGAGAATATCATGCCAAGCSAAACAAGCCAATTCCAAAAAAAAGAAAATAAAGGCCAAATGTTTTCTCTGATATGTGAATGCTGATCTACACTTGAGGGGTGGGGACAGGGGACAAATAGAGGAACTTTGGGTTGGACAGAGGAGTATGAGGGGAGGGAAGGGGGCTTGGGGGTAGGAAAGATGGTGGAATGAGACAATCATCATTACCCTAGGTACATGTATGATTGCACAAATGGTATGATGCTACATTGGGTACAACCAGAGAAATGAAAAGTTGTGCTCCATTTGTGCACAATGAATCAAAGTACATTTTGTTGTCATTTATAACTAATAAGAACAAATTTTTGTTTTTTTAGTTTTAGGTGAACACAATATCTTTATTTCTATGTGATGGTGAGGATCGAACCCAGTGCCTCATGCATGTTAGGCACGCACTCTACCACTGGGCCACGACCCCAGCCCTAATTAGAACAAATCTAAAAATTAAAGAAAAAATGTCATGACTGTGAGACTCTCATGTTCTATTTGGCTAAGAGGCCAGGTCTGAGAACATGAGCGCCAGTCATCACTAACACAACTCTGCATTGTATTGCTTCAGGTACACTACTATATCTCCTTGCTTTTCAACAATTTCTTCTAGGCTTGAAATAATCCTGAAACCAGTTTCCAAAGTAATATTGCTGTGGTAAGGATAGTTTTTTTTTTCCTTCTTCAAGTACATCAGCTGTGGTTTGACTTCCTTAAATTTTTTCTGCACAAATGAGCAGACAGGTCAGGGAACAGAGCTTAGTTCCAGGGCCAGGATGGCCTGAATGAGGTCAAGTACAACTTACGAGGCTCAGGAAAAGAATGCTGCATGTACAGTATGAGGAGAATTATTGTGTTGCTGGTTGAATACACCATTAGGACAAGTCTTTTAAGACCTTATGGTGATGATACTGAAWGTTGCATTCAAGAAGTAATTGTGAAATCCGCAAAATAACTTTTCCCAGAATTATGACTGAACTTTAAATGGGTTGGTATAGTTCCTAGGCACTTGTCCTTATTTAATTAGAGTAAAAACAAAGCACACAGGTCAAAAATGCTAAAAACAAAAAAATTGCTAGACAAAAAACACAGCATGGATAAACAAGAGATTTTCTATGATGACTATTAAAAGAGAATGGAATCTGTGTCTAAAATGAGCTTGTAATGAGTGATGTGGTAGAAGATAGACATGAAGAAGTGGATCATCTTCAATTGGATAATGTCCAAGGAACTGCCCTCCATCCTGACCCTCATCGCCATTTCTAGACATCAGAGGCTAAAGCCCCTGCAAGCCTGATCTCTCCACCTCTGCCAGCTGAAGAGTAGGAAAGTTGTGACCTTCTGGGACCTGTGGCCTCAACCCCAAATGTACCCACCCACCAAAGTAATTTTGAACAAGAACAAAACCAGAGGCATCACACTTCWTGATTTCAAATTATTTTACAAAGCTATACCAATCAAAACAGTGTGGTGATGGTATAAAGATAGAAACTTGGGCCAATGGAAAGAGTTAGAAAGCCCAGAAGTAAACCCATGCATATATGGTCAACTAATGTATGTTCCAGCAAACCCCTTCTTTTACCAAGGAAGTAAAATCACTACCTAAAAGTGAAAGCTGCAGAACTTTAGATAGGGCAAAGGAGAGGGAGGGGATAGGAGGGGGCAAGGGGGTAGAAATTATGGTGGAATGAGTTAGACATCATTACCCTAAGTACATGTATGAAGACATGAATAGTATGAAAATACTTTGTGTAAATCAGTGAGTTGAAAAATTGTGTTCTATATGTATAATATGAAATGAATTGCATTCTGCTAATATGTATAACAAATTAGAATAAATAATTTTTTTAAAAAAGAGAAAGCTGTACTTCTACGTTCATTGTAGCAATACTCAAAATAGCCAAAGTATGTCCCTTGACAGATGAATGGGTAAATAAAATGTAGCATTTTGCATATATATAATAGAATGTTTAGCTTTTATTTTTATTTATTTTTTAATATTTAGTTTTTAGTTTTCAGTGGACACAACATCTTTATTTTATTTTTATGTGGTGCTGAGGATTGAACTCAGAGCCCCACGCATGCCAGGTGAGCACGTTACTGCTTGAGCCACATCTCTAGCCCTAGAATGTTTAGCTTTTAAAAAGAAGCAAGCTAGGAGCTGTGACACACCCCTGTAATCCATCCCAATGGCTCAGGAGTCTAAGGCAGGAGAATCGCAAATTCAAAGCCAACCTTGGCAACTTAGCAAAGACCCTACACAACTCAGTAAGAACTTGTCTCTAAATAAAAAATATTAAAAAGGGCTGGGGATGTGGCTCAGTAGTTAAGTGCCA